ATGGCGGTAAATGAAGGGGAATGTCGGTAAATGGCGGTAAATAGCTAGGAATAGTAGTAAATGGCGGAAAATGGTGGTAAATGGTGGTAAATGGCGAGGAATGGCGGTAGATGGCATTAAATGGCGGTAAATGGCAGGGAATAGTAGTAAATGGCGGTAAATGGCAGGGAATAGTAGTAAATGGTGGTAAATGGCGGTAAATGGAGGTAAATGGCGGTAGATGGCGGGGAATGGCGGGGAATAGTGGTAAATGACGGTAAATGGCGGGGAATGGCGGTAAATGGCGGGGAATAGCTGAAAAAGGCGGTAAATGGTGGTAAATCGCGGTAAATGACGGTAAATTGCGGGGAATGGCGGCAAATGGCGGGGAATGGCGGTAAATGGCGAGGAATGGCGGTAGATGGCGGTAAGTGGCGGTAAATGGCGGGGAATAGTGGTAAATGGCCGTAAATGGCGGGGAATTGCGGGGAATGGCGATAAATGGCGGTAAATGGAGGTAAATGGAGGTAAATGCCGGTAAATGGCACGGAATGGCGGTAACCGGCGGAAAATGGCGGGGAATGGCTATAGATGGCGGTAGATGGCGGTAAATGTGGGTAAATTGCGGTAATTGGCCGGGAATGGCGGGGAATAGTAGTAAATGGCGGTAAATGGCGGAAAATGGCGGTAAATGGCGGTAAATGGCGGGAATGGTGGGGAATAGTAGTAAATGGCGGTAAATGGTGGTAAATGGCGGTAAATGGCGGGGAATGGCGGTAAATGGCGGGGAATGGTGGTAAATGGCGGGGAATGGCGGTAAATGGTGGTAAATGACGGTAAATGGCGGGGAATGGCAATAAATGGCATTAAATGTAGGTAAATGACCGGTAAATGTCAGTAAATGGCGGTAAATGGCGGGGAATGGCGGTATTTTATTTTATTTTTATCTGATTTTATTTTAATTTTTTTATTTTATTTTTTTGATCTTATTTTATTTTTATTTTATTTAAGTTTTATTTTATTTTTTTATTTATTTTTATTTATTTTATTTTATTTATATTTTTTTAATTTTTTCTTATTTTATTTTATTTTACATTAGTTTTATTTTCTTTTATTTTGTTTTTATTTTATTTTATTTTATTTTTATTAATTTAATTTCATTTTCTTCCTTTAATTCTATTTTAAATTCCTTTTGTTTTACATTTTTATTTATTTAATTTAATTTTCTTCCTTTAATTCCATTTTTAATCCTATTTATTTTATATTTTAATTTTATTTTTAATCCCATTTCTTTTACATTTTAATTTAATTTAATTTAATTTAATTTAATTTAATTTTCTTATTTGATTTCCATTTTTAATCCCATTTATTTCACATTTTAATTTTATTCATTTAATTTAATTTAATTTTCTTCCTTTTATTCTATTTTTAATCCCATTTATTTTATATTTTAATTTTATTTTTAATCCCATTTCTTATACATTTTAATTTCATTAATTTAATTTATTTTAATTTAATTAATTTTTCTTCCCTTAATTCTACTTTTAACTCCATTTTTTTATATTTTAATATATTTATTTAATTTAATTTAATTTAATTTTCTTCCTTTAATTCCATTTTTAATCCCATTTATTTTACATTTTAATTTTATTAATTTATTTCATTTAATTTAATTTTCCTCCTTTAATTCCATTTTTAATTCCACTTATTTTATATTTTGATTTTATTTTTAATCCCATTTTTTTACATTTTAATTTTATTAATTTCATTTAATTTAATTTTCTTCCTTTAATTCCATTTAATTCCATTTCTTTTATATTTTAATTTTATTTTTAATCCCATTTATTTTACATTTTAATTCTATTTATTTAATTTAATTTCATTTCATTTTCTTCCTTTAATTCTATTTTTAATCCCCTTTATTTTATATTTTGATTTTATTTTTAATTCTGCTTATTTTACATTTTTAATTCTATTTATTTAATTTAATTTAATTTAATTCAATTTTCTTCCTTTAATTCTATTTTTAATCCCATTTCTTTTACATTTTATTTATTTATTTATTTTATTTATTATTTATTTAATTATTATTTTATTTATTTAGATTTTTATTTCATTTTCAATTCCAATTATTTAACTTAATTTAATTTTCTTCCTTTAATTCCATTTTAAATTCCACTTATTTTACATTTTTAATTCCAATTATTTAATTTAATTTAATTTAATTTAATTTAATTTAATTTTCATCCTTTAATTCTATTTTAAATCCCATTTATTTTATATTTTATATTTTTATTATTTTATTTATTTTATTATTTATTTATTATTTTATTTATTTAATTTTTTATTTCATTTTTAATTCCATTAGTTTAATTTAATTTAATTCAATTTTCTTCCTTTAATTCCATTTTAAATTCCATTTATTTTACATTTTTAATTCTATTAATTTAATTTTATTAATTTAATTTAATTTAATTTAATTTAATTTAATTTAATTTAATTTAATTTTCTTCCTTTAATTCCATTTTTAATCCCATTTTTTTCACATTTTAATTCCATTAATTTAATTTAATTTAATTTAATTTAATTTAATTTAATTTAATTTTCTTCCTTTAACTCTATTTTTAATTCCATTTATTTCACATTTTAATTTTATTAATTTTATTTAATTTAATTTAATTCAATTTAATTTAATTCAATTTTCTTCCTTTAATTCTATTTTTCATCCCATTTTTTTCACATTTTAATTCCATTAATTTAATTTAATTTAATTTAATTTAATTTAATTTAATTTAATTTAATTTAATTTAATTTAATTTTCTTCCTTTAATTCCATTTTTAATCCCATTTTTTCACATTTTAATTTCCAATTTAATTTAATTTAATTTAATTTAATTTAATTCAATTTAATTCAATTTTCTTCCTTTAATTCCATTTTTAATCCCATTTTTTCCCCCCCCTTTTCCCTTCCCGCCCCTCCCCCATTCCCAACATTCCCAACCCAAAATTCCAAAGATTTTTCCACCAAAACCTTTTTTATTTTTATTTCTTTTTATTCCAAATAGAATTCTCAGCTGGAATTTTTATTTTTATTTTTCCCCCTCCCCTTTTCCAGTAAAAAAAAAAAAATTCCAGGAATTTTTCCAAGGTTTTTTTAGGAAAAAATTAAAGAAAAAAATTCAGGAATTTTTAAATAAAATTATTAAAAAAATCAGGATTTTTAAGAAAAAAATTAAAATAAAATTCAGAATTTTTTAAAAAAATACAAAATAAAATTCGGGAATTTTTAATAAAGATTAAAAAAAAAATCCAGGAATTTTTCCAATATTTTTTGGGAAAAAAATAAAGAAAAATTTCTAAAAGTTTTATTAAAAATTTAAAATAAAATTCAGGAATTTTTTTAAAAATTAAAAATAAAAATCCAGGAAATTTTATTAAAAATAACAAATAAATTAAGGATTTTTCCCAACATTTTTGGGGAAAAAAAAATAAAGAAAAAAATCAGGAATTTAAAAAAAAAATAAAAAAAATTCTGGAATTTTTTTAAAAAATTTAAAATCAAATTCAAGAATTTTTAAAAAAAAAAAATACCCAGGAATTTTTTCAACATTTTTTGGAAAATTAATTTTAAAAATCCAGGAAATTTTGAAAGAAATTTTAAAAAATCCAGGAATTTTTAAGAAAAATAAAATAAATAAATCCAGGAAGTTTTTAAAATAATAAAAAAAAAAAATTCAGGATTTTTTTCAAAATTTTTTGGGGAAAAAATAATTTTAAAAAAATTCAGGATTTATTCCAAATTTATTGGGAAAAAAATCAAAGAAAAAATTCAGGAATTTTTTTTAAAAAATTTTTAAAAATCCAAGAATTTTTCCAACATTTTTTGGGGGGGAAAAAAAAAAGAAAATAAAAAATCCTTTGGTTTCCAAATTCCTGTGGTTTGTTTTTTTTTTAATATTCACAAAACAAAAAAGAAAAAAAATTCCAGGGGGAAAAAAATTCCAGGGAAAAATAAAAAATAAAAAACAAAACAAAATAAAAAAAATTTCCTGGAAAAAAAAAAACACTTGGAAAAGAATTCCAGAAAAAAAAAAAAAAAAGGAAAAAATTCCATGGAAAAAATTAAAAAAACAGGAAAAAAATCCAAGAAAAAGAAATTCCAGGAAAAAAAAATCCAAGAAAAAATAAAATTCCAGGATTAAAAAAAAAAAAAAAAAACCGAGAAAAAAATTCCTGGGAAAAAAATTCCAGAAAAGAAAAAAAATTTGGAAAAATTCCAGAGGAAAAAAAAAAAGAAACAGAAAAAAATTCCATAAAAAAATGAAAAACCAGGAAGAAAAAAGAGAGAAAAAATAAAATTCCAGGGAAAAAAATTCCAGAAAAAGAAAAAAAACTTGAAAAAAAATTCCAGGGAAAAAAAAAAAAAAAGAGATTAAAAAACTCCAGGAAAAAAAAATTTGGAAAAAAATTTCAGGAAAAAAAAAATTTGGAAAAAAAAATTCTAAGAAAAAAAAAAACCAGATTAAAAAATTCCAGGAAAAAAAAAATCAGGAAAAAAATTCCAGGATTAAAAAAACCAAAAAAAAGAAAATTCCAGGGGGAAAAAAATTCCAGGATAAAAAATATTTGGAAAAAAAATTCTGGGGTTAAAAAAAAAAGAGATTAAAAAATTCCAGGAAAAAAAAAATTCAGGAAAAAAATTCCAAGAAAAAAAAGAAATTCCAGGGAAAAAAAACTTGGAAAAGAAAAAATCAGGATAAAAAAAATTCCAGAAGAAAAAAAAATAGGAAAAAATTCCACAAAAAAAAATTCCAGGATAAAAAAAAATTTGGAAAAAAAATTCCAGGATAAAAAAAATTCCAGGAAAAAAAAATCCAAACCTTGGAAAAATTCCTGAGGAATTTTTTTTTTAGGATTCCCTAAAATTATTTACATCCAAAAAAATTGGGATTTTCTTCCCTAAAACCCCCCCTAAAATAAAAAAAAGAATAAAAGAATTCATGGAAAAATTCCCCAAAATATTTTAAATTTTAAAATTTATTTGGATTTTTTTGGGGTTTTGGAGGTTTAAAAAATCTTCTTTTTTGGGGGGAATTCAAATCTTCCTGGAGGTGGAAATGGAAAAATAACCTGGGAAAAGAACAAGAAAATAAAGATTAAAAATAAATTCTGAGTGGGAACGATTAAAAAAAATTTTAAAAAAATAAAGGAATTTTTTTGGAATTTTTTAGGGATTTTTTAGGGAATTTTTAGGATTTTTTTAGGAATTTTTTAGGGATTTTTTAAGAATTTTTTTGGATTTTTTTCAGATTTTTTTCAGGATTTTTAATGAATTTTTTAGGATTTTTTTTGAAATTTTTTTCAGGATTTTTTCAGAATTTTTTGGAATTTTTTGGAATTTTTTTGAAATTTTTTTGGATTTTTTTAGAATTTTTTCAGGAATTTTTTAGAATTTTTTAGGGATTTTTAGGGATTTTTAGGAATTTTTTTGGAATTTTTTAAGAATTTTTTAGGAATTTTTTCAGAATTTTTTAGGGATTTTTTGGGGATTTTTAAGGAATTTTGTAGGAATTTTTTAGGGATTTTAGAAATTTTATGGGATTTTTTAGGAATTTTTGGGGGATTTATTTAGAATTTTTTCAGAATTTTTAGGAATTTTTTGGAGAATTTTTTGGGATTTTTTGGGATTTTTATGGGATTTTTAGGAATTTTTTTGGAATTTTTTTCAGAATTTTTTAAGAATTTTTTAAGGAATTTTTAAGGATTTTTTCAGGATTTTTTAGGAATTTTTTAAGAATTTTTTGGGAATTTTTAGTAATTTTAGGAATTTTTTAGAATTTTTTCAGGATTTTTTAGGAATTTTTTAGGAATTTTTTAGGAATTTTTTTGAGAATTTTGTAGAAATTTTTTAGGGGTTTTTTTAATTTTTCTTTTAGTGTTTTGGGAAATTTTTCAGAATTTTTTAGAAATTTTTTCAGAATTTTTGGGGATTTTTTTCAGGTTTTTTTGGAAATTTTAATGAATTTTTTAGCAATTTTTTTGTAAATTTTTTAGGGATTTTTTTCTGATTTTTTTTAGGATTTTTTTTTACTATTTTTAGGAATTTTTCAGGAATTTTTTTGGAATTTTTTTTTATTTTTTTATGATTTTTTTAGGAATTTTTTCAGAATTTTTTAGGAATTTTTTTAGGTGGTTTTTTTTAGGAATTTTTTAATAATTTTTTTAGGGATTTTTTAGGAATTTTTTAAGGCATTTTTTTGAAAATTTTTAGGGATTTTTTAGGGAATTTTCTAGGAATTTTTCATGAATTTTTTAGGAATTTTGGAGGGATTTTTTAATGAATTTTTTGAAATTTTTTTAGAATGTTTTTAGGGAATTTTTTCAGAATTTTTTTTAATTTTTTCAGATTTTTTTTGGAATTTTTAATGAATTTTTACAGAATTTTTAAAGAAATTTTTGAGGAATTTTTAAGGGATTTTTTTAGGAATTTTTTAGGTATTTTTTAGGGAATTTTTAGTAATTTTTTTACAAATTTTTTAGGAATTTTTTCCTAATTTTTTTATGAATTTTTTTGGTATTTTTTAGGAATTTTTTCACAATTTTTGGGGGAATTTTTTAGGGATTTTTAAAGGAATTTTTTCAGATTTTTTTTTAGAATTTTTTCAGAATTTTTTGGGATTTTTTTTGAATTTTTAAGGAATTTTTTCAGAATTTTTCCAGAATTTTTCAAGAATTTTTTTAGGAATTTTTTAGGCATTTTTAAGAAATTTTTGAGGAATTTTTTAGGGAATTTTTTTAGGGATTTTTTAGGAATTTTTTTGGAATTTTTTGGTGATTTATTCAGAATTTTTTCAGAGTTTTTTTAGGAATTTTTTTAGGAATTTTTTAGGGATTTTTTAGGAATTTTTTTAAGATTTTTTTTCAAATTTTTTTGGAATTTTTTCAGAATTTTTTCGGAGTTTTTTGTGGAATTTTTTAGGAATTTTTTTGGAATTTTTTGGGGAATTTTTTTTAGAATTTTTTTAGAATTTTTTAAGGATTTTTTTAGGAATTTTTTAGGAATTTTTTAGAAATTTTTTTAAGGAATTTTTTCTGAATTTTTTAGGAATTTTTTTAGATTTTTTTTAGGAATTTTTAAAGAAATTTTTAAGTAATTTTTTAGGAGATTTTTTTGGAATTTTTCAGAGTTTTTTTAGGAATTTTTTCTGAATTTTTTCGGAACTTTTTCTGAATTTTTTCAGAATTTTTTAATGAATTTTTTAGGATTTTTTAAGTAATTTTTTTAGGAATTTTTCGGGATTTTTAGGAATTTTTTTAGGAATTTTTTAGGGATTTTTTAAGAATTTTTTTAGGTATTTTTTAGGGGGAAGGTTCGGATTTTTTTAGGGATTTTTTTAGAGATTTTTTTGAAATTTTTAAAGAATTTTTAAGGAATTTTTTAGGAATTTTTAAGGAACTTTTTAAGGATTTTTTTGGAATTTTTAAAGGAATTTTTTCAGAATTTTTTGGAATTTTTTTTAGAATTTTTTAGGGTCTTTTTTAATTTTTCAGAATTTTTTCAGAATTTTTTAGGAATTTTCTCAGAATTTTTTCAGAATTTTTTAGGGATTTTTTAGTAATTTTTTTAGGAATTTTTTCTGAATTTTTTCTGAATTTTTTCTGAATTTTTAAGTAATTTTTTCAGACTTTTTTCAGAATCTTTTTAAGAATTTTTTGGATTTTTTATGATGTTTTTTTAGGAATTTTTTAGGAATTTTTTTGGGATTTTTTTTCAGAATTTTTTCAGATTTTTTTCGGAATTTTTACTAATTTTTCTAGGAATATTTTAGGGATTTTTAAGGAATTTTTTTGGAATTTTGGGGGGAATTTTTTTTATTTTTTTATGATTTTTTTAGGAATTTTTTTAGGAATTTTTTTCCTAATTTTTTCAGGAATTTTTTAAATCATTTTCACCCCCACCTGCTTTAAAACTCCGAGCCGTTTTCCAGGGAATCTTTGGAATTATCGGAATTTCGGGATACCAGGTCAGCCAGCAGAGCCTCTTCCAGCTTTTTCCTCACTTCTTGTACCCTCTCCTCCTGTTTCCTGGGAAAAAAACACCCAAAAATTGGGAATTTTCCAGTGGAAAAGTTGATTTTTTCCTTGGGAATTTTGGGTCTTTTTTTCCCTATTTTTCCTTGGAATTTTGGCTTTAAAATCTTAATTTTTTCCCTATTTTTGTTGGGAATTTTGGGGTTAAAATCTTGATTTTTTTCCCTATTTTTCCCCTGGAAAAGTTGATTTTTCCTTGGGAATTTTGGGTCTTTTTTTCCCTATTTTTCCTTGGAATTTTGGCTTTAAAATCTTAATTTTTCCTTGGGATTTTGGGCTTTAAAATCTTAATTTTTCCCTATTTTTCCTTGGAAATTTGGGCTTTAAAATCTTAATTTTTTCCCTATTTTTCCTTGGAATTTTTGGCTTTAAAATCTTAATTTTTCCCTATTTTTCCTTGGGAATTTTGATTTATTTTTCCCTATTTTTCCTTGGGAATTTTGGCTTTAAAATCTTAATTTTTTCCCTATTTTTCCTGGGAATTTGGGCTTTAAAACCTTAATTTTTTCCCTATTTTTCCTTGGGAATTTTGGGTCCTTGATTTTTCCCTATTTTTCCTTGGAATTTTGGCTTTAAAATCTTAATTTTTCCCTATTTTTCCTTGGGAATTTTGGCTTTAAAATCTTAATTTTTCCCTATTTTTCCTTGGGAATTTTGGCTTTAAAATCTTGATTTTTCCTTGGGAATTTTGATTTATTTTTCCCTATTTTTCCTTGGAATTTTGGCGTTAAAATCTTGATTTTTTTCCCTATTTTTCCCCTGGAAAAGTTGATTTTTCCTTGGGAATTTTGGGTCTTTTTTTCCCTACTTTTTCCTTGGGAATTTTGGCTTTAAAATCTTGATTTTTCCATGGAAATTTTGATTTATTTTTCCCTCTTTTTCCTTAGGAATTTTGACCTTTAAATCCTTCATTTTCCCCCCAATTTTCCCTCTGGAATTTTCCCCTTCCCTTCCCTTTCATTCACCCCCAACCTTCTCCCATCACCACCTATCCCAATCCATTGACAACTCCCTCTTTTAATTTACCACCAATCCACCACTCCCTCCTTTAATTTACCACCCTCCCCCCTTCAATTTACCCCCAATCGACAACACCCCCCTTCAATTTACCACCCACCGACAACACCCTCTATTAATTTACCACCCACCGACAACACCCTCTTTAATTTACCACCCACCCACCACTCCCCCCTTCAATTTACCACCCTCCCTCCTTCAATTTACCACCCACCCACCACTCCCTCTTTTAATTTACCACCCATCGACAACACCCTCTATTAATTTACCACCCATCGACAACACCCTCTATTAATTTACCACCCACCCACAACTCCCCCTTTAATTCACCACCCTCCCTCCTTTAATTTACCACCCACTGACAACTCCCCTTTAATTTACCACCCATCCACCACTCCCCCCTTCAATTTACCACCCTCCCTCCTTTAATTTACCACCCTCCCTCCTTTAATTTACCACCCACTGCCAACACCCTCCTTTAATTTACCACCCACCAACAACTCCCTCCTTCAATTTACCACCCTCCCTCCTTTAATTTACCACCCTCCCTCCTTTAATTCACCCCCCCCTCCTTTAATTTACCACCCACCGCCAACACCCCCCTTCAATTTACCACCCACCGCCAACACCCCCCTTTAATTTACCACCCATCCACAACTCCCTCTTTTAATTTACCACCCTCCCTCTAATTCACCACCCTCCTTCAATTTACCACCCACTCACCACTCCTCCTTCAATTTACCACCCACCCACCACTCCCTCCTTCAATTTACCACCCACCCACCACTCCCTCCTTCAATTTACCACCCACCGACACCACCACCTCCTTTAATTTACCACCAATCGACAACACCCCCCTTCAATTTACCCCCCACCGCCAACACCCCCCTTCAATTTACCACCCCTCTCCCACCTCCCCTCCACTCCCCCTTCTCCCAATCCCATTTTTTCCCCCTTTTCCCACCTGATATCCTCATCAGTCACCACGAAGGCCCTGCAGAGGGGCTGGCAGGTGTTGAGCCAAACGGCCGGGTTCTTCTCGGCCGCCGCCGTCAATTGACCGGTGATGGGGGCGTTGCCCGCGTGCAAGGCGCTGGCCACCGCCCACAGCAGCGTCTCGGCCGTGCTTCCAGGTCCTACACCTGGAAAAAATCCATGGAATTTACGGTTGGATCAGTTTGGGAAGGTGGGAAATGGTTTGGTCGATGGACAGGGAAAGTCTCAATTTACAGCGATTTCTATGGGAATTTGGGAATTGTTGCACTTGGAATATCAAGGGGTGGTTGAATCCTACATGGAATTCTAATTATCCCAAAAAAAAAGCAGTGGATGATCCCAAAATTCCCAAGGAATCGTCATGAATGGGAAGAGATTCAATGGTGAAAATTCCCATGGGAATTTTCCCAATTTACAGGGATTTTTATGGGAAATTTGGGAATTGCTACGCTTGGAATGTCAAGGGGTGGTTGAATCCTACATGGAATTCTAATTATCCCAAAAAAAAAGTATTGGATAATCCCAAAAAACTCCAATTCCCAAGGAATTTTTGTGATTGGAGGAGATTCAATGGTGAAAATTCCCATGGGAATTTTCTCAATTTACAGGGATTTTTATGGGAAATTTGGGAATTGTTGTGCTTGGAATGTCAAGGGGTGGTTGAATCCTACATGGAATTCTAATTATCCCAAAAAAAAAGCAGTGGATGATCCTAAAATTCCCAAGGAATCGACAGAATTGGAGGAGATTCAACAGTGAAAATTCCCATGGGAATTTTCTCAATTTACGGGAATTTCTATGGGAAATTTGGGAATTGTTATGCTTGGAATATCAAGGGGTTGTTTAATCCTACATGGAATTCTAATTATCCCAAAAAAAAAGCAGTGGATAATCCCAAAATTCCCAAGGAATCGTCAGAATGGGAAGAGATTCAATGGTGAAAATTCCCATGGGAATTTTCCAAATTTACGGTGATTTTTATGGGAAATTTGGGAATTGCTACAGTTGGAATGTCAAGGGGTGATTGAATCCTACATGGAATTCCAATTATCCCAAAAAAAAAGCAGTGGATGGTCCCAAAATTCCCAAGGAATCGTCAGAATGGGAAGAGATTCAATGGTGAAAATTCCCGTGGGAATTTTCCCAATTTACAGGGATTTTTATGGGAAATTTGGGAATTGTTACACTTGGAATGTCAAGGGGTGATTGAATCCTACATGGGATTCTAATTATCCCAAAAAAAAAGCAGTGGATGATCCCAAAATTCCCAAGGAATTGTTGTGATTGGAGGAGATTCAATGGTGAAAATTCCCATGGGAATTTTCTCAATTTACAGGGATTTTTATGGGAAATTTGGGAATTGCTACGCTTGGAATGACAAGGGGTGGTTGAATCCTACATGGAATTCTAATTATCCCAAAAAAAAAGCAGTGGATGATCCCAAAAAGCTCCAATTCCCAAGGAATTGTTGTGATTGGAGGAGATTCAATGGTGAAAATTCCCAGGGAATTTTCCCAATTTACAGGGATTTTTATGGGAAATTTGGGAATTGCTACGCTTGGAATGTCAAGGGGTGGTTTAATCCTACGTGGGATTCTAATTATCCCAGAAAAAAAGCATTGGATGGTCCCAAAATTCCCAAGGAATCGTCAGAATGGGAAGAGATTCAATGGTGAAAATTCCCATGGGAATTTTTCCCCCCCTAAAAAAAAATCCTGGGATTTTTTTTTTTAGGGAATGAAGGGGATGGAAATGGGATCTTCCCCCTCCACATTCCCAGAATTCCAATACCTTGCAGGCCTTTGGGAAGCTCCATGGATTTGATGCTGTGCTCGCTGACGTCGGAAGCGCTGAGGCCTTGGAGTCTTTTTTCCCAAAAAAGCTGGAAAAGAAAAGTTGGGAATTACACAGAATTTTGGGAAAGGTGGAAAAAAATTCCCTTTTTCTGTTGGTATCTCTTGTTTGGGGTTTTTTTCCCTGGGAATTTGGGTTTTTTGGGAAAAGAAGGGGTTAAATGAATTTGGGGAGAATTCATGTGGGAAGGGGAATTCAGTGGAAAGGGGGAATTCCATGTGGAAAGGGGAATATGGGAATTCCATGTGGGAAAAGGAGGGAATTCCATGTGGGAAAATGAGGAGAATTCCATGTGGGAAAAGGGGGGAATTCCATGTGGGAAAAGGGGGGAATTCCATGTGGGAATGAGAGAATTCCATGTGGGAAGGAGGATCATGGGAATTCCATGTGGGAAAAGGGGGGAATTCCATGTGGGAAAAGGGGGGAATTCCATGTGGGAATGAGAGAATTCCATGTGGGAATTCCATGTGGGAAAAGGAGGGAATTCCATGTGGGAAAGGAGAATTCCATGTGGGAAAGGAGGAATCCATGTGGGAAAAGGAGGGAATTCCATGTGGAAAAGGAGGGAATTCCATGGGGGAATTAGTGGAAGGAATTCCATGTGGAAAGGAGGGAATTCCATGTGGAAAAGGAGGAATTCCATGTGGGAAAAGGGGGAATTCCATGTGGGAAGGGGAGAATTCCATGTGGGAAAAGGAGGGAATTCCATGTGGGAAAAGGGGAGAATTCCATGTGGGAATTCCATGTGGGAAAAGGAGGGAATTCCATGTGGGAAAAGGAGGGAATTCCATGTGGGAAAGGAGGAATTCATGTGGAAAGGAGAATTCCATGTGGGAAAGAGAGGAATTCCATGTAAGGAGGAATTCCATGTGAAAGGGAATTCCATGTGGGAAAAGGAGGGAATTCCATGTGGGAAAAGGGGGAATTCCATGTGGGAATGAGAGAATTCCATGTAGGAAAAGGAGGAATTCCATGTGGGAAAAGGGGGGAATTCCATGTGGGAAGGAGGGAATTCCATGTGGGAATTCCATGTGGGAAAAGGAGGGAATTCCATGTGGGAATTCCATGTGGGAAAAGGGGGGAATTCCATGTGGGAAAAGGGAGGAATTCCATGTGGGAAAAGGAGGGAATTCCATGGGAGATAGGAAAAGGGACAGGGAATTCCATGTGGAAAAGGAGGAATTCCATGTGGAAAAGGAGGAATTCCATGGGAAAAGGAGGAATTCCATGTGGGAAAAGGAGGAATTCCATGTGGAAAGGGAGGAATCTATGTGGGAAAGAGGACGAATTCCATGTGGAAATAGAGGAATCTCATGTGGGAAAAGGAGGAATTCCATGGGAAAAGGAGGGAATTCCATGTGGAAAAGGGGGAATTCCATGTGGGAAAAGGAGGGAATTCCATGTGGGAAAAGGAGAGAATTCATGTGGGAAAGGAGGGAATCCATGTGGGAAAGAGAGGAATTCCATGTGGAAAAGGAGGAATTCCATGGGAAAAGGAGGGAATTCCATGTGGAAAGAGGGGGAATTCCATGTGGAAAAGGAGGGAATTCCATGTGGAAAAGAGAATCCATGTGGAAAAGGGGGAATTCATGTGGGAAAAGGAGGGAATTCCATGTGGGAAAAGGAGGAATTCATGTGGGAAAATGAGGAATTCACATGTGGAGAAAGGAGGGAATTCCATGTGGAAAAGGAGGGAATTCATGTGGGAAGGAGGAATTCCATGTGGAAAAGGAGGGAATTCCATGTGGAGACAAGGAGGGAATTCCATGTGGAAAGCAGGAATTCCATGTGGGAAAAGCAGGAATTCCATGTGGGAAAAGGAGGAATTCTATGTGAAAAGGAGGAATTCCATGTGGAAAAGGAGGGAATTCCATGTGGGAAAAGGAGGGAATCTATGTGGGAAAAGTGAGGGAATTCCATGTGGAATTCCATGTGGAAAAGGAGGGAATTCCATGTGGGAAAAGGAGGAATTCCATGGGGAAAAGGAGGGAATTCCATGTGGGAAAGGGGGAATTCCAAGTGGGAATCATGGGAAAAGGAGGAATTCCATGTGGGAAAAGGAGGAATTCCATGTGGAATAAGAGGAATTCTACGGGAATTCCATGTGGGAAAAGGAGGAATTCCATGTGGGAAAGGAGGGAATTCCATGTGGAAAAGGGCGAATTCCATGTGGGAAAAGAGAGGAATTCCATGGTGAAAAGGAGGGAATTCCATGTGGGAAAGGAGGGAATTCTATGTGGAAAAGGAGGGAATTCCATGTGGAAAGGAGAGAATTCCATGTGGAAAAGGAGGGAATTTCGTGTGGGAATGAGAGAATTCCATGTGGGAAAGGGAATCCATGGGAAAAGGAGGGAATTCCATGTGGAAGGAGGGAATTCCATGTGGGAATCTCATGTGGTACAGGGGAATTCCATGTGGGAAAGGGGAATTCCATGTGGGAAAAGGAGGAATTCCATGGGGAAAAGGAGGGAATCTTCATGTGGGAAAGGGAGAATTCCAGGTGGGAAAAGGAGGGAATCATGCTGTGGGAAAGGAGGAATTCCATGTGGGGAAAGAAGGAATCCATGTGGGAAAAGGAGGGAATCTATGTGGGAAAAGGAGGGAATTTCATGTGGAAAAGGAAGGAATTCCATGGAATCTATGGGAAAGGGAGAATTGCCATGTGGAGAAGGAGGAATTCCATGGAATTCGTGGATGGGGGAATTCATGTGGAATTAAGAACTCCATGTGGAAAAGGGAGAATTCCATGTGGAGACTGAGGAATTCCATGTGGAAAAGGAGGAATTCCATGTGGGAAAGGAGGAATTCTACGTGGGGAAAGAGGGAATTCCAGGTGGGAAAAGGAGGGAATTCCATGTGGGGAAAAGGAGGGAATTCATGTGGGAAAGGGAGGAATTTCCATGTGGAAAAGGGGAATTCGGCATGTGGAAAAGGAGGGAATTCCATGTGGGAAAAGGGGGAATTCCATGGGAAAAGAGAATTCCATGTGGAAAAGGAGGGAATTCCATGTGGAAAAGGAGGGAATTCTACATGTGGGAATTCCATGTGGGAAAAGGAGAATTCCATGTGGGAAAGGAGGGAATTCCATGTGGGAAAAGGGAGGAATTCCATGTGTGGGAAAAGGAGGAATTCCACATGTGGAAAAGGAGGGAATTCCATGTGTGGAGAATTCCATGGGAAAAGCAGGGAATTCCATGTGGGAAAGGAGGGAATTCCATGTGAGAAGGAGGAATTCCATGTGGGGAATGAGAGAATTCCATGTAGGAAAAGGAGGGAATTCCATGGGAAAA